CTCTTTCCAAGCTGTTAGGAAAAGGAACAGGAACTGGGGCTTTCCAAAGAGGCAAAACAAACAAAAACCCAAAAATATAAACACAAAGACCCTCCCACCCCTATACTAGATCTTAGTTATCATCATCTTATGCTACGATTCCAGCATTAGAATAATTTTCCTCCTCACCTGATCATTCAACACCCTCCCCCCGCCCCCCAAAAAAAACCCAGCAAAAAAACAACCTAAGAAAAAAACCCCAGCCAACCAACTCTCCTCCCCCCTCAAACCACAAAACCCCCACAAAAAACACAGACAGCTTTTGGAGCACATATTCACAATAAATGTTCAAATTAAATTCCTATATCTTTCATTCAAAGACACAAAAAACCACATGCTGTTTTCATACCTGCATATGGGTAATCAACATGACAATGAAACAGAGTATTTATTTCAAAGGTAATATAGAAATCATAGCAATGGCCATGGATGTTAAGGAAATATACTTAAGTAATTTCCTTATGCTGCTGTTCTTCCTCAAAGACAGTTTTATTCAAACTTCTCCAATAAACAGAACTACGGTTTGCTAAGAAAAGGTGTAATTAATGTCTTCAACTGTACTGCACCAATGTATCAAGATAACATTTTTTCTTAATGTTCTTTAGAGAAGTCTCATTGAGAGCACAATCTTACATTTAGATTCTTCAACTTTATTTTTTAAAATGCACATACTAAAGAAAAGAAAACAGAGGAAATGTCACTATACTTTGGGATTTTAACACGTCCATAAAATACATGGGTATACAAAGCACCTCATACACAGTCATCAGTTTCATAATGTGAAAATATGCTTGGAGTAACACTATGGCAAAATGAAGTCATACATGGAACATGTGTTTTCCATGCTCCTCCTTACAGGAGTTCTAGTTTTGGCACCATGTATGAAGTTTCCATGTAATTTAACAGGGAATTTTCAAAAAAGCAGCTGATTCACCTTTCCTATTGGTTGCAACAAAATGAAATAGAAAACATCTTAAAAAAAAAAAAAACACCCACCCATACATGTAAACCTGAAGGTTCCATTGCTAAAGTGAAAACTGTGAAAAAGTAAAGCTTGGTTCACTAACTCTACTTGTATAGGGCCAACACAAAAATGAATCAGTAATTCTTCTGAACTGTAACTGCTCAACTATGAGGAAAAACTGTTCCAAGTGCTAAAATCTGAAGATTAACAATTACACGTATGTCAAAAAAATTAACAGGTATGTTAACTTTTCGGATGCATCCATTCAAACAAGTTTTGTAACATTTACCTGTATCCAAGCGCTTTACAGGGGACTCATCATCAACCTCAGAATCTCCACATGCACTCCTTGATCTTTTCCTTGGGTGCAGAAGTGTCTCCAACCTTGGAAGGACTACAGACAAAAAGGTTTTGGTCCCTAGCTGTGGAGAAGTTGGCTGGGTTTCAGTGTTCTTTGCAGACTTTTGGGGGCTTATACTTTTCGATTTGCAGAAGAGAATGGATGTACGTCTGTTTACATCAGTTGATGACTCAGCTACAGAAGAAACAGTCGACTCATTGAGATTACTGTCAAGTAAGTGTTCTGGAGTGTGTCCATTTATTTCTTTCTGAATGGAAGTGCTATATAATTCATTATCAAATTTTACTCTTTTGTAAAGCTTACTCTGCTCTGGATTGAGTTCTACTGGTTTGAGGGTTGGTGGTTCTGAATTAGTCTCCAAGTTTGAAGGAAGAGGTAATGCATCTGATGGTTCAAGTTTAGGGGGAGATTTATCTCCTGAAAAAATTATAAATAGAGTGTGATTTTTGAAAACCTGTAGTTATAAAGTCTATTATAAAACTCACTATAAATGTGCAGCCCACCAAATAAATTGTTGTTTGGAAACAAAGCATAACATTTTAAAAACAAACCTTGTCTAGCAACAATCTGTCCTAGTTAGTAGTTCCTACTTTTATACTGGGAATGTAAAGGGATAGAAAAGTAGGTGTTTATAGTTGGTGTTAACAATTTACACCTGGATAAATACTTTTTACTTCTCATGCAGTTATGTTAGTTTCATTAACTAAAAACTAAGAAATCTATTTTTTTTAAATAGAAAGTTGGGGTGGTGGATGATTATCAGTTAAATGCAATTACACTGCCATTCAAGTAAGATTTTGATAATATACATTTTTCTCTACTTCACCTTATCAATATCCACCTTACCTGCCTAAGACAAATTTTATCAGATAAACATTAAAGAAAAAAAATATTTGTAATCTGATCTACTAGAGTGAGCTAAAATGTGTTAAAAAATTTACAGAAAAGCAAGATTTGCAAAGCTGTTTTACAGTTGTGGCTAAAAGTTTTATCTACCAAAAAGAAATAAAAAAAAGGGAGGGACACACCCCCCCCAAAGTCTTGCAGCTTGATTAGCCACTAGTTGGCAAATACACACTTGACAATGCAGACTTGATAGGAGAAATCAGAAAAACCACCCTCTACCATTTTTTCTTCCTTCTCCCCCCAACACCCGCCCCCCTTTTTTTTTTTAACATAATCATGTCCCAGTCAATTCCAGTAATTCCATGCTGGGAAAAGACAACGGAGATATAACTGTGAGTGTATGAAACTAGTTTCAGTTTTTCATCCCAAGTGATGGGGGGCAGGGGACGGGACCATTCTACTGTTGCAGCATTCCCAAATACAAGTAGAAGGACTTCCTAACCCATAATTATCAACTCAAAAAGATGTTAAAACCATCTTTCTAGCTTCCAAAAGAATCATTTAAAATATAAATTAGTAAGAAGAAAGAAGATGCTTATTCTAGAGTAACTGTATGAGACCAAAGTAATATTTATGCTATCACATGAAATTTTAAAGTTTACTGAATTTTTCTATGCTACCTGAAAAAAAGCTATAAAACCCCAACGGTTTAAGCCCTGTATCTGTAGCAGATTAAATATTATCTCCGTATTGTTCTGGTTTTGGCTCAGCAATGCTTACTTGGAAATCAATGACTTCTAAGTGCAGAAAAATATCTGCCCCATTGTTTAAGGTTTAATCAAACAATAGCATAGTTCATATTAAAAATATTATTAAAATAAAGTGTGACTATTTGCTGACATCCTTTGAAGGCATGCAAGTATTACAATTCCTAAATAACAGACATTTAGAAGGAAATTTGCAGTCAGATAAGCACATTTAAAGTACCACCAATTAAAAAGCCTGTAGTTTAGAATGTCCAAAGTGACTGTTCTTTATGAACAAATTCTGATTTTCTTAAAATTAATTAGAAAATATTCACAAATAGATTTACACGCAGAAAAACACCTGAGAACTATTTAGACACTAAAACCTAAATTTCACAGGGTTATTCTGGTACTGTATTTTTCACATGATCAGAAACTGAAAACAGAATTGCAAGGGGGTAATTCACAGCTCTTCTGAAATCAGCTCCTGCAGAGATCCTCAGCACCGGATTCTACTACTTCCCTCATCTTTCTTTTTGGCAATCTGTTTTCTTCACTCCTCTAAGTACCTTCCATTTCAGAATTGAAATTTGAGCTAATGCCTATTACTCTTCACTAGACCAGAACTGAAACAATGCCAATCAACTCTGGATCATGCTCTTATGCTTTTTCTGAAAAGCGTACTGTAAATAAAATAGCTACTGCTCACTTTTTGACTAATTTTTGCACAACACCTGCACTGAAAGGCTGTATCATAAAAATGTTAAGCTACAAGTAAAAAAAGTTAGCGTATGCATTATCTGCCAGAAACTACATTCCTAAACAACTATATTCAGTAGCATCATCACTTGAAGATTAAAAAAACCCAAGTAAAAAAAGAAAAAACCCAAAACCCAAAAACGATTTAAGGAATACTTAATGGCCTCAGAACAAGCATGCTGATTCACATACACTTTTTCTACTACTGTTGTTCAAATCTCAAGCAAGTTATATGTTTGAAAAACATTCCCTTAGTCACACTAAGAATTAAACACCAATTTGCTGTTTGAATGGCAGTTAAGGACAGTCATTTTCACCTTTCAAAAATTTTGATAGCATCAAGCTGCACCATACACAGGCTGTTTTATTTATTACCATGCTTCCCCTTTCCCTTGAGCTCTTTCCTCCTCCCATTCAATGCACTTATTCAAAATGAAACACGTCTCTAACTCTTCTAAAGAAAAATAGTTTAGCTTTTTAAAGAGCTGATCGTGAAATAAACTCAATCGATTTTTTTTAAAAGACTACATTTTCTTTGCATCATTTAAAAATGAGTAATAAAGACCTCAGTAATTGATTTAAGAGCTAAAAAAGCAAATACAATATTCAACTGAAATATGAAGTTAGCTCTTTCTAGTATATTGCTCCTATTGAAATCAATGGGAATTAGCCAAGAGCAGATGCAGTTCTGAGACCAATGTTCTGAGGAGGAAAAGAAGCACAAGGGGAAAGGCTGGTTAGACACAGCTGACTTGATTCTACAACATGAACTTTGTTAAAACCTATCAATAGTTAGCTTTATTTAAAAAAATTTAAAAAAAATTAAAAAAATTAAAACCAACGCAAACCTACCCTCCACCCTCCCCAGAGTCTGGAGTAGAGAATAAAAAAAGCTACAAAAGACAGTACAACAGCCAGAGTTTTCAGCACTATTGACCTCGGCTCATATGATCCCTAATACATATTTTGGCATTTAAGTGGACTTCCGAAAGTACAAAGATGTTTTCCACTCAGGCATTTCCGATTCCTTTTCGTATGAGTTTGTACTTTCACTTCTTAACACCTAAATTTTTAAAAAGCCTTACTACTGTGAAAAATAATGGAGGGAGATTTTGGTTAAAAAGATCATTCTCATATTCTTAAAACATCTGTTGTGATTAAGTGGCTATTTGTCCATTTAAAAATTAAATATAATATTATTTTATTACAGTCTTTAATTCACATGATCAAAGCACCTGACTGAAGAGGTTCAGAACAGTACTATTTTAAACAGGGTTTAAAACCTTACCTTCTTCTTCTCCGTCTTGTTCTAATGCTGCATTTTCTTCTTCAAAACTTCCAATACCTGATTCTATTTGAGGAGCTTGGTTGTGTTGCTGGCTTAGTTTGTTGCGAATAATGCTGATTTCTTTCTTTAACAGCTTTGCTCTTTTGCTCCTTGACCCACTGGATTTCATTGCACAGGTGAGATCAAGTTTTTCTAGCAACTCTCTCAGCTGTTCTTCCAAGGACATATGCGCTCTGTTTGCAGGATTCAGTAACCTATCCACTGAAGTCAAAATACGTATAATTGAAAATGTGTTAGTGTTTCCCAGAATAACAACATGAGGAAAAAAAAATTAATTTGCCAGAATTAAAAAATGTCATCAAAAAGCTACTTAGATTACAGTTAGTAGCTTCACCATTACCAGTGAAGAAATGTTGAAATGAATTCCTACTATATAATTACTATTCTTCTTGATCAGCATTTTGCTCCAGAAAACTATGTAGTAGAGCAAAGAATTAAAAGGTCAGAAGGAAGACTTAAGTAATCCTTCCCACGCTAATAGAGGATTTCCTTCTTGTCAAAGAGAAGGGCAAGATTATGGTTATAGAAGAAGTGTTAATTGTTCTCCTTTACTACCAAAACCTCAGAAAACTGGTATGTATGTCAAAATAAGTAATTTTAATTCCTAGTATTACAAACGTGCCTGATTTTTTAATTCAATAGGTCATTTAAGAATGCTCTTAAGTTTATGTGCACTGGTAGTCATTTTCCATGACTCACAAGCATATAGAATCATGTGAAAGAAAGCGCTCAATTTAAAAATCTTTTTCATGTAACTTGTTAAATTAGGATCTGGCACTGTCAAAATCAGAATGTGGATAACACTGTTTTCTAATGACAAATCTACTAGAATAGAAACAATTCTTTCAAGCAATGTTTTTAATGGCGGGGAGGGAATCTAGTCAGCAAACTGAACAGCAACAATCTTAAACATTTGTATGGAATGTACACACTGTGCGTAATGAAAAATTTTAAAATTTTAAAAATAATCCAGAAACATCTTACCATCTTCCCAAGAGAAAGGCTGGGGTGACTCAAGTTTAGGCCGTTCAGGTAAGTGCATTCCAGTTTCATTATTATAACCGATTCCTTCAGCATCTCGCCTAGCTTGCCTGAGAACTACACCTCCTTGATCTCTTAACCGCACTGCAGCTCTATAGAATATTGTATCTTTTGCATTGTATTTCATACAGTTTTCTATGATAAGATTGAAGTCGTCTTCAAACTCACTGAGGTTTTTATAGCCTTGAGCATCTAACCGTTTTCGCATGGTAGAGAAATCCATAGGATGTTTAATATGATCCAAATAGTCTGGAACCTTTGAATAAACATTTAAAACACAAATGGGTAAAATTATCTTACTACAGACAAAGTAACATTAACTGATCCACGTTTTTTAACATATTTCATAATACCTCAAATCAAGAACTTAAAAATGTAGCTTAGAATTGCACATCTTGGTATTGCAAACATTTGCACGCCAACAGAAGTTTACATATTACAAGATTCTGCATTTTAGATAACAAGTTGGAGCTCTACTAACAGATGTTGAAGTTACATGTTTTTAGAATTCTGTGGTTTTATGTACATATGTGTATTTATGCATACGCATACTTATAAATGTGCATGTTTATACATGTGTACACATATAACATATACATGTATATGTAGTATATGCACATGTGTATATATATGCAATTTATATAGACATGTATAGATGTCTACATGTTATTTATACACACACGTGTTGTATGTGTACGTATACACACATACACAGACACTCTTAAGTTTATCTGGTTTCTCTCTGAATGAAAAGGAATTTCTCCTGCAATTAAGAACACAGTATCCACATTTCAATTTTTAAGACACCCTTCAAGTTTGCTTTATCAAATAATCTTATCGCAAAAGATCAATATGTACACGTTATTCCGTAGAAGTATTTCCCAGAAGTTTTTTTGTATATGAGCATAAACAGACTTTCATAGCAGTAAGTCACAGCTCATAACATAAATTATCAGAATAGAGATAAAAAGGTAACACCACTCCCAACTCTGTATGCAATGATTTATTTCTTGTACTTAAGTGCCACCAAGTCATATCTAAACATAAGGAAATAGAGCTTAAAACATACCTCTTTAAGGTTCACTGGCTGAGCAAATATACGAGCAGAATCCTTTTCTTGCAGCTGATCCAGAACCGATCGCAGAAGTACAGTGAATGGAGTAAGCTGAAGTTCCATAGCAACCTGCTCAATCTTGACCTAAAGAAGTAATAATTATCTCATTGAGCATTTTTCATTAAGATACTCTTTTAAAGTTGTTTTGCAGCAATAGCAAAGTACTTTAGGTATGAACCACAATATAGATATACTTTAAGTAAATGAGTTCAATGCCACTTTCAATATCATCAGTTGACATTTGTCAGACATGTTTTCAGCTGATGACTTTGTAAGAAAAATCATTCTCAACCCTTCATTGTAGACTCAACTTCAACTTGAGCTTCTCAGAACTCAGATTTGTATTTTATCTATAAATGAATTTTGTTCAATTTTTAACTATTTCTTTTCTTTGAAAAGATGTTATACAAGAACAGCTTCATATTTTGCGAACAATGCGAAAATAAGAACAAGAATTTAAAGGTAACGTTTAAAATTAAATTTCAGTTGTAGTGCCACATTCAAAGTGTAAAAAGATAATTTTATGAACATTTACAGACTACATAAGACCAAAACAAAGAGTAATTTTAAAGACAATGTTCTATGTAAATTCCAAGAAAGTAATTTAAAAAAACAGAATCAACAACGTCTTCAAATACTTGATCATCCTTCAGAATTTTCATTATTTTTGACAATATTACAACTCCTCTATAGTTTTATTTTTAGGCCATTTAAAGAGTTATCAACATTGAAACAGTCTTATTATGGCAAAAATAAATTCTTAACGACACATTAATGGTGTGTGTGTATACATATAATATAAACATGTGAACAATGTATACACAAACACACACATATAAAATACACTTGTATAAATAATACATAATACATGTGTATAGCAAGTGGTATGTGAATGTGCAGGAATGATGCACGGAAATCCAGAAAGCACTCAAGAATTACAAACTATATTAGCTTGCAATGAATAGTCACAGCTTGCAGAAAGTAAAAACTGAATGGTGTTTGTGTTTTTATAAATAAAGACAATTAAAGACTCATCAGTGCAAACATTCTGCTTCCACAGTTTTCATATAAAATGTTATATTTCTGCATTATTGCTTCCTCAAATCTGTTCTCCCAGCAATGTTATCTCTATAATGTTGTAGGACTTAGATGCAGTTTTTTCTTTTTTTTCCTGACAGAACAATAAAAGCATTACTCAATACAGGCACTGGGAAAACCCAAAGAGATCACATTTTCTATAGTTCTTCAGAAACCAATTGCCTTTGCAAGTCTAACAGAATGGCTTGTTAAGTAATTTCTCTACACCAATGCATGCAGCATGGGCAAGAAACAGGAGTTGGAAGCCACCATGCTGCTAGAAAGCTATGACCTAGTTGCCATTACTGAAACTTGGTGGGACGAATCCCATGACTGGAGTGTGGCTATCGATGGCTACAGGCTGTTCAGGAGAGACAGGCGAGGAAGGTGGGGTGGAGGTGTTGCCCTCTACATCAAGAAACGGTTAGATTTTGAAAAGCTGTCTTTGAAGAACAGCCGCAAGCAGGCTGAAGGCTTACGGGTAAGAATCGGAGACCGAGGCAACAAAGGGAACCTTGTGGTTGGTGTCTACTGCAGGCTGCCCGATCAAGGGGAGCCTGCTGACAAAGCTGCCTTACTCCAGCTACAGGAGGCATCATGCTCACAGGCTCTCGTCCTGCTGCAGGACTTCAACCACCCTGACACCTGCTGGAAAAAGTAGCATGGCAAGCTGCAGACAATCCAGGAGACTCCTGGAATGCAGTGAGGATAGCTTCTTAAGCCAGGTAATAGACAGCCTTACCAGAGGTGGTTTGATACTGGACCTGATGGTCACCAAAGCAAGTGAGCTAATTGGTGACGTCAAGACTGGAGGCAGCCTGGGCTCCAGTGACCATGCACTGGTGGAGTTCGGAGTCCTGAGGGACATGGGTCAGGCAAAGACTGAAATCAGGACCCTGAATTTTAGGAAAGCAAACTTCCAGCTCTTCAAGGAATTAGTCCATAGGACCCCCTGGGAAACTGCCCTCAGGGACAAGGGAGCAGAACAGAGCTGGCAGATCTTTGACATTTTCCATAAAGCACAAGAGGTCTTGATACCCGGGTGTAAGATATCAGGAAAGGAAGGCAAGAGACCAGCATGGATGAGTTGAGACCTGCTGGTCAAACTGAAGGGCAAGAAGGAAATACACAGGCAGTGGAAGCAGGCACTGGTATCCTGGGAAGAGTATAGGAACACTGCCTGGTTGTGTAGGGATGGGGTCAGGAAGTCCAAGGTGCAGCTGGAGCTGAACTTGGCAAGGGATGCAGAACAATAAGAAGGGCTTGTAGAGGCATGTCAGCTCCAAAAGGAAGGTCAAAGAAAGCATACCCTCCCTGACAAATGCAACTGGCAAACTAGTAACAACAGATGAGGAGAAGGCTGAGGTACTCAGCAACTTCCTTGCCTCAGTCTTCACTGGCAATCTCTCTTTCCACACCTTGAGTGGATGGACTGCTAGACAGGGACTGGGGGAGTGAAGTCCCTCCCACTGTAAGGGAAGATCAGGTTCGTGTCCACCTGAGGAACCTGAATGTACAGAAGTCTATGGGACCTGACGAGATGCATCCCAGAGTCCTGAGGGAACTGGCTGATGTAGTTGCCAAGCCATTCTCCATGACATCTGAAAAGTCATGGCAGTCAGGTGAAGTCCCTGGTGACTGGAAAAAGGGAAACATTGCACCCATTTTTAAAAAGGGAAGAAAGGAGGACCCTGGGAACTACCAACCTGTCAACCTCACATCTGTGCCTGGGAACATCATGGAGCAGATCCTCCTAGAAGCTATGCTAAGGCACATGGAAGACAGGGAGGTCATTCGAGACAGCCAGCACGGATTCACCAAGGACAAGTCCTGCCTGACCACCTAATGGCCTTCTATGATGGAGTGACTGCATCAGTGGACAAGGGAAGAGAGCTACGAATGTCATCTATCTGGACTTTTGTAAGGTCTTTGACACAGTCCCCTACAATATCGTTCTCTCTAAATTGGAGAGATATGGATTTGATGGATGGCCTGTTTGGTGGATAAGGAATTGGCTGGATGGTCACATCCAGAGGGGAGTGGTCAACAACTCCGTGTCCAGATGGAGATCAGTGACGAGTGGCATCCTTCAGGGGTCCATATTGGGACCAGTACTGTTTAATGTCTTCATAGATGACATAAGACAGTGGGATCGAGTGCACTCTCAGCAAGTTTGCAGACAACACCAAGCTGAGTGGTGCAGCTGAAAAGCCAGAAGGATGAGATGTCATCCAAAGGGACCTGGACAAGCTGGAGAGGTGGGCCTGTGTGAACCTCATGAGGTTCAACAAGGCCAAATGCAAGGTCCTGCACCTGGGATGAGGTGACCCTCAAGATCAATACAGGCTGGGGGATGAAGGGATTGAGAGCAGCCCTGCCAAGAAGGACTTGGGGGTACTGGTGGACGAAAAGCTGGACATGAGCTGGCAATGTGCGCTCACAGCCCACAAAGCCAGATGTATCCTGGGCTGTATCAAAAGAAGCATGGTCAGCAGGTCGAGGGAGGTGATTCTCCTTCTCTAGTCCACTCTTGTGAGATCCCACCTGGAGTGCTGCATCCAGCTCTGGAGTCTTCACTACAGGAAAGATATGGACCTGTTGGAGTGGGTCCAGAGAATGGCCGCAAAAATTATCAGAGGGATGGAACACCTCTCCTACAAGGACAGTCTGAGAGGGTTGGGGTTGTTCAGCCTGGAGAAGAGAAGGCTCTGGGGAGACCTTACTGTGGGCTTTCAATATTTAAAAGGCACTTATAAGAAAGATGGGGACAGACTTTTTAGTAGGGCCTGTTGCAACAGGACAAGGGGTACTGCTTTTAAACTGAAAAAAGGTAGATTCAGACTAGGTATAAGGAAGAAATTTTTTATGGTGAGGGTGGTGAAGCACCAGAACAGGTTGCCCAGAGAGGTGGTAGATGCCCCATGCCTGGAAACATTCAAGGTCAGGTGGGATGGGGCTCTGAGCCACCTGATCTAGTTGAAGATGTCCTGGCTCACTGCAGGGGGGTTGGGCTGGATGACGTTTAAAGGTCCCTTCCAAACCAAACCATTCTATGATTCTGTGGTAATTTTATATATTTTAAACAGTTTGCTTGAGTGTGTGCATGCATGTACGTTTCTGGATCCTACATGAGGATTAAAAGACAAACACTGCAGTCTTTCTGTTGCAAAAACTGTGTGAGGATACTTAAAACTACCTTTCCTTCAGAAAATTTTCACCAAATTAAAAAGGTACTCCATTTACCTGTTCTCTTTTTAATTTTTCACGCTTACGTATAAGTTCAATCAACAAACGTGCTCTTTCAAGATCATGGCGCAGCCTTTGCCAGTACTTCAATTTTTCTTTTAAGGCTTGCATTTCTTCATCATCTTCTCTCTAAGAAAAGAATCAAAAGGTTTTCATGAAACGAAAAACACTAACCTCTTTTTATAAGCTAGTTTTATGCAATTACAGAACGTGTTCACAGGAAAGGAAAAACTACTGTCTTATAGTTATGGCACTTGGTCATAATCATAAGCTTCATACTGCAGTAAAAGAAAACAAAAACCTCTGGTCAGGGTATCTTCTAGAGTTTCTCAACCATCTAGCTGAAAACAAGATCTATAAACTGGAAAGCAATGCTATGGTGAAGGCTATCAGAAAAAAAACCAATATAGCAAACAGCAACCTAGCAGTGTAACAAGCTGCAAAGTGAAATTCGGTATTTTCACATCAAAATCCAAAGCAGGTGAACATCATCAGCTTCTTCAGAAACTCAAGCCTGGGAGAAAAATTCTTGTTGTGCTTAACACAGTCCACCGCCCCCACACCCAGTAGAATTAGGACACACTTGTAACAACAAAATCGTTATGACTTCTGAAGACAGGAAATGAAAAGCAGTTTATTAAGTAATATAGTAACTTCAAATGATACTGCAAATGGGTAATGCAGTAACACAGCCTTTCAGTGAATAGATGAAAGAATTTAATTCACACATTTTTAGGAAGTCGTTTTTAAACACTTGCAGTATTTCGTTTGATTTGTACATACAGACAACAGAGCCTTTCCTGTTTGTTTTTACTATTTTTCATATGAAAAAGTATTCAAATGGTATTGGTAATTCAGGAGAAACAAGGCCATAAAAAAACTGAAGTCCTCATATTAGTACCAAGTACACAAAAGAAACATCTGCTTTGGAAAATTATTACATTTAAAATGAGTATTTTATAAAAGAATCTCAGAAAGAGATCCAAAGCTTTGTATGCTTGCCCGTAATTAGCATAATGCAACATACACTTGATAATTGTATTTTTTTTTTAAACTAAACCAAACAAACAATAAATTCTGTAAGTTGTAAAAAACTGAAGACAGAGGAATAAAGAAAACTGGCTAAGCAAATGAACAATAAATCGATGTTAAAAATTATTACGTTACAAATTTGCATTGACAAATTGTCAAAAACCTCCTTAACAGAAGGATAATTTAGAAATATCATAGGTCCTCTAAAGGAAACTTGTGTAATTTTTCAGACAGAAGGTTCTAAAAATAGAATTACAAAAACTGGCAGTTTAAAAAATATCTAATAGATTTTCGAGTACTATGATTCTATGATCTGCACCATATTTTATTGCTTTATACATTTTGTAAAAGTAAAGGCAAGTACCTGTGGAAGCTGTGAAGTTAGTTTTATTCAAATCTCTGACTTGACTGAAGTTGAAAATCCTTAACTATCTCTGTATTACAATATTGCAACCTGGGAACAACAATTTGTTCCTCTTTTCAAAAAAAAAAAAAAAAAACCCAAAAAAAACCAAAAAAACCCACACAAAACCCCAAACCAACAAAAAAACCCACCACAAAAAAAGACCGAAAAATTGTAGCTAGAAACTTCTAGTTTCCTTTCCTAATGACTATTACTACTGACAGCCTTTCTTTTAAGGAGTTAAGTCTTGACTTAGACACACAGTAATTTTACTGTTGAGGGTCAGAATAGTTCAAAGTAAATTTTGACAGAAGAAATATTTAGTATGCATATTTTCAGTTCCTTAAAATTCTCAGAGACTCACTGAATTAGAAAGTCTACACTGCCACTAATTGCTGTTCTCCTACACCCCTTCATCTCTGAGTACAGAACCCATGTGTGGAAAAGCAACCTAACTGTTAACTGACATAGCTATACAACTTTTTCATAGTTACACTGTTTTTCAGGACCAAAATTAAGTTGTGGCTATTGCTAAAAGTGGAAGGCTTGCCCTCCATTTGCTTTCAGCCAGAGTCCACTCTTTTGCCCTATGTAATTGCACAGTTCATGAAACTGGGGAACTGACCCTGCTGAAAGCTAAGTCAACAAAACCATACCAGTTTTAGGGTGGGTCAGGAAACTTAAATACAGCAAGAAAAAAAATGTTACTTTGTTACACCAGGTCTTGGGATAGCTTATTAGAGACTTAAGCATTTGGCTAAATCTGAAGGTGCAGTTGCACTTTTTAAAAAAAAAAAAAAAAAAAAGATTATTCAAAGATTATTCTTTTAGTTCGATCAGTCGTTTGACCAATTTCATTCCATAAAATAGGCAGGCAGGTGTAAATATGCAGATGTGACCCAAAGTATTCAAAAGCACCTTGCTTGCCTTTTTTTGGTGCACACATACACTCCCTTCTGGAATGTCACTCTGACTTGGGGATTAATAGCAAGCCTCCAATTTTTTCACACTTCTGTGCTAAGTAATGTCAGCAAACACAGTTACAACAGCTAAGATAATAAATAAGTTAGAGTAAAAGGAGTTTATCTGACATACAACATATACCTTAATTAGATTAAAAGATCCAGGCAAGCTGAAAAGACATGATGCGCTGGTTTCCACTATCTAACTAGTAAAAACTTGAATAAAGAGAGTTCCTTTCAAAATTTTTAGTTTTCAAAGGCTTTCTGACAAGGAAAGTTTCTATTAACTTCCTGGTAAAGAGTTCTTCTTCCAAACCTTTCTTTCTGTAACAAAGCCAGGAAGTTTCTTCTGGCTGACGACGCCAAAAAAATTTAGAAAGAAACTCTGGTATTTTCTGATGGACTTAATTCTTGCTGAACACCAAATATTGTCTAGAAAAGCTAAAACTGACACATTTATTAATATTTGGGGAAAAAGGAAAAACTTCTAAGTCTATACACAGAACATGCATCAACTGAGAACTGGTCTTCAGCTCCAACGCGCACCATGAGTACATTGCCAGTCTCTGCATACCAGC